ACACAAGGAGATCTGGATAAAACTACGGGCAGCTGAAGAGAAGTGTTATAGGATAACACTTCTCTTTAGCTTCTCTTTTATCTACGTTTGCAAACGTAGAGTGGTTGGTTTACGTTCTTACATACATACCATCTACCATTACATGCATCTACCAACCAAACAACAAAAATCAGAGTATGCAAAGAACTTTCAAAGGAAGTAGATAAAAAGAGGTAAAAGTAGAGATAAAAAGAGGCGTAAGGCAAAGTTGCATACTCTCCCCCTTATTGTTCAATCTATATTTGGAAGAAATAAATTAAAAAATCACTTAAAAATGTCACAATTGGAATAAAATTCAACGGCAGACACATCAACAACATCAGATATGCCGATGATACTATACTAATTGCACATAATATACAAGATCTACAGACACTCTTAGATAATGTACTAAATGCTGGTGAGGAAAGGGAACTAACGCTTAATGCTAATAAAACACAATTTATGACAATTTTCAAAATACAACAACAAGACATTTTAAATATAAGAAGGGTTCCAATAGAAAAAGTAAAAAAATACAGACATCTTGGTACAATTATTAATGAAAATAATGAGTATACACAAGAAATAAAAAAAATGGGAATTGGACAAGCTAGAGCAACATTTAATAAGATAAGAAAATTATTATGCAGTAGAGACCTTAGTTTGCAACTCAAAATAAGAATATTACGTTCATATGTGTTTTCGGTGCTGCTGTATGGGGTGGAGGCCTGGACCTTAAAGAAAGAGGTGAGCGATCGACTTGAAGCATTCGAGATGTGGACCTACTAAAGAATATTAAAAATACGTTGGGTAGACCGAACAACAAATGTTGAGGTTCTCAGAAAGATGACAAAGGAAATGGAAATCATAAATACGATTAAGATAACAAAGGCCACATAATGAGAGGGGATACATATGTGTTGCTACAAACCATAATGCAGGGAAAAATATAGGGAAAATGAAGTATTGGAAGAAGACGCATCTCCTAGCTCAAAAATCTGAGAAAGTGGTATAATTGCAGTTCCGTCAACATGTTCAGAGCTGCAATCTCAAAAGTGAAAATAGCTGTGACGATTACCAACCTCCTAAAAGGAGACGGTACCTAAAGAAAAAGAAGATATCTTTCGCTGTGTCTCATGATCTGACCGAGGTATTCAATTGTGGTTGTTTTTTCCCTAATTATTCCGTAAAATTTTGGTCATTTTGTTCATCAATTCGACCATTTTTTTCTTTTTAATAATTAAACCGTGACTATATGAGATATTATAAGTCCAGGCTGTGAGGCCGCTCCCGTTGGGAAAATGTTTCTGATTCGGTTTCTTCGCGGATTCCGGTTCAAAAATGTCCCCTTTAAACAAATCTGAAGGGTGCCGGGCGAAATTTTTGGGCAGAAATTGTTTAAACAATTTTTTTAAATAAATTCAAAAATAATCTTTATTTAATCTATTTAATAATAATTCCAAAAATATTTTTTTTAATCTGGAGAACGTTTTTTAAGTTTTTTGGCTTATTATAAACAAAAAAGGTGTCTTGTCATTTTTCTCTAAACATGATAGTTTTCGAGTTATAAGCGATTTAAAGTCTGAAAAAAGCGAAAATACGCATTTTTGAGACTTGAAAACACATTTGTAAATTATTATTTTTGAGGTTACCAAGTGTCTAAATTGAAGTTTAAACATCCAACTTCAAGATTGTGAAGAGTAATCGGGGCTTATTTTAATTTAGACAGTTGTTTTTTAATTGTTAAGTATGCGCGTACACTCGATTTTTCAGCCGCCGCGGCGCGGCGCGCTATCGTGCGCCTCTATCGTACGTAAGTTTATTAACATAGTTTTTTCCATAATTTATTTATGTAGATATTAGTTATTGTCATTGGGCTAATTAAATAATCAATTATCGCATGTAATAACCGTATATAGTTTTTTTTTTCCAAATTTGAACAATATAATTATTATTTATTGAGTATATATTTACTTATATCAATTGTAAATAATATTTTTAAATTATTATTTAAATAATACAATGCAGTAAATATTAATATTAATAGGCAATTAATAGGAAAAATGGGAGAATCCGTAAACGATGCAAGAAAATCAATTTTTAACAGATCATGTGGCTTAGGAATTAATCTAGCAAATATACCTTGTACGTCTGACGCACTTTACCAACACTTGTTAAGAGCTTTCGCTCAAACATATATTTGGCGAAATGCCATATATTCTCGCTATCAAACTCTCGATTTTACACAATATGGATATTATATGTCTGATAGTGGTGGGTTATTACCAAGATTCATAACTCAAAACCCATTACCAGAAGCACTGGTGAAACCGTGCAAATGCAAAAAGACTTGCAAAACTAATGCTTGCAACTGCAAGAAAAATCATGTCAACTGTGTACCATTATGTGGATGTGATTTAGATTTTTGTGAAAACAAAGATACTTTTACTGAGTGATATTAGTGTGTTATTTAACAATCTTTTGTACAATTATTTTATGTAACTATTATTAGACTTTAAATAAAATGTAGTTTATATTTTACGAAATTTATATTATAACTCAATTGATATAAATAAATATATACTCAATAAATAATAATTATTTGTAAGTATGTGTAAGTATATGTAAACTATGCATAAATACGATAGAGACGCACGATAGCGCACCGCGCCGCGGCACCGGCGACTGAAAAATCGAGAGTACGCGCATATTTAACAATTAATTTACATCGCTTATAACTCGAAAACTATCAACTGTAGAGAAAAATGACAAGAGATCTTTTTTGTTTAAAATTACCCAATAAACCTAAAAAAGATGTTGTCCAGATTAAATAAAGATTATTTTTGAAATTTATTTAAAAAAATTGTTTTAAACAATTTCTGCAAAAAATTTCGCCCGGCACCCTTCAGATTTGTTTAAAGGGGACATTTTTGAACCGGAATCCGCGAAGAAACCGAATCAGAAACATTTTCCTAACGGGAGCGGCCTCACAGCCTGGACTAATAAGGTGTTTTGTGTTTCTTTGATTGTTTTAAAGTCAGCTTTTTGTAGTCTCCGGAAATCTTAATATTCACTGGATAAATCAGTCCGAAATTTTGAATAATCCTAGTAGCTGGTGTTACTTTATTATTATAATTAAACATTTGAATACTTTAAATAATACCGGATTAAAAATAGAATAAAAATCGTATAAAAATAATTCAAAAGAAATTTACTCCTTAAGTAAACACCACTTATACAAAGATATGAGTAAATCAAACTTAAATACTGATAAGAAATCCAATATTTATATGCAACTTATAAATTTAAACAATTTACAAATACTTGAATCTTAGCGGCAATTTTCATGGCGATAAAAACATGGTTTGATTGCATAACTTCTACAAACACACAAAACTTGAGAGGGCATGACGCCAAACATTTTGAAATTAAAAGAGGAGTCTCGTGTAATTCATGTGTGGCCTCGTTATTTCTCAAACAGTTTTGAATGCTTTAATCTTGGTGTCAATAACCGTAATGTTCTATGTTTATTAACAGGAGTACCTGGATCTCCAAGTAGATGAAATCCTTTTATCTGTTCATATTATAGTGATATAAAATTTTATTTTCATTAGGATGAAGGCTATAGCGGGATAATATGGTCAAAAGTGCCCCCGCACCGACCAGCACCGCGACTTATGCTTTCAATACGTTTCGCCAACTCTAGTGGTTGGCATCTTCTGGAGATGTTAATGCTTCACTTGTATGTTCGTTTATTCTTGTGTTTGTGTGTCTTTTTGTAGTTCCCACATATACCATTCCACATGTGCATGGTATTCGATATACTCCGGTCGTTGCTAATGGGTCCCGTTTGTCTTTCACCGATCTTAAACAATCCTTGATTTTCCTTGTGGGCTTGAAAATGGTCTTTTCGTTGGCTTTCTTAAGTATCCGCCCAATTCTGTCCGTTATCCCCGATATATAGGGCAAGAACGCTTTGCCTTTACATTCTGTTTCTTCGTCCTTTCTTCTAGAAATGTTGGTCATCGCCTTGTGTATTTCTCTTCTGGTATAAACATACTTTTCTACTCTGTGACCCCAAATGACAAAAGTGTCATCAACGTATCTAAACCATACCTTTGGCTTGTATGCTGCGTCCATTACCCTTTTCTCTAAATGCTCCATGAAAAGGTTGGCTACGACTAAGCTTAGTGGGCTTCCCATTGCAACTCCATCCATCTGTTCATAAATCTGGTCTTCCCTTGAAAAGTAGGTGGTAGTGAGGCAAATACGGTATAATTCCACCATATCCTTGGAAACTAGTCCCTCAATTAAATTTAGAACGTCTTCTTAGGGGATTCTTGTAAATAGGGAAACCTCATCAAAGCTAACGAGAATGTCCGAGGGTATCATCAAAACTCTGGCGGAGAGGGCGAAGAGAATTTGTGAACCACAGCATCTGCAAAGTAAACTTCTTCACATTGAAAAAGCGCTTACCTCTAATGGTTACACCAGAAGAGAAATACACAAGGCGATGAACAACGTCTCTAGAAGAAAGGACGAAGAAACAGAATGTAAAGGCAAAGGAAAGCCAACGTAAAGACCATTTCTAAGCCCACAAGGAAAATCAAGGATTGTTTAAGATCGGTGAAAGACAAACGCGACCCATTAGCAACGGCCGGAGTATACCTAATACCATGCACGTGTGGAATGTGCTCTTTTTCTATTTTTTTTCCCTATTTTATGTTTGCCATTTTCTCTTCTGCTCATTTTCATATATTTAATTTCTTTCGATATATTTTTAACTCAAGATTTCCTTCTTCTATTGTTTTCATCCGATTAGTTTTTTTTAATTATATTCATTGATTGAATTAACTTTTAATCATCTGCAAATGGATGATTCATCTGGTAATGCCCTGTAGAAGATTTCAGTTCTCAGAAAATAGGTTTCTGAATAGAAATACACACAAAAAATTATTTAAAAAATTAAATATTGTTTTTTGTAAATAGTTTATTTTTCGATGCATCTAACAATAATTTTAAAATATAGTTACGGAAATAAAGTTATTAAAAAAATAAGTACAAAGCGTATATAATTTCATTCGATGAGTTTAGTCTTTTTTAAAGATGAGTGTTCCTGAACCTTTGGGTGCCTTATAAAGCTGAAAAATAAGAAATGAATATATTAATTAATTATGTTTTACCAAATTAAAATGGTATTACTCTTTGAAAGTATTATATAATGGTATAATGGTTTATATAGAATTGTATTGTTTTAGAAATAAGAGGGAGAAAATAGTCAAATGTTTCTAGCGAAAATTAAACATGTTTGTCTAAATTGAAATTATTATACAACGTTAAAAAAACAGCTTTTAGATCAGTTCTCAAATTATTCATTTATTGAAACGTAATGCAAAATTCTCCTTTGGTTTTGTGGTGAAGTCAATAATGGATATAAATACTGGTGGACTGGTCCATGTCCACGAAATATTTTTATAATATACATCGGATGTATGTAAAGCTCGGATTATAGGCAAAATGCCCTTTTTGTCTATCTTACGTATTATTTTTTGCACATTTTGCCTTTTTATAAATTCTGCTTATGTGTTCCTTTTTTTAAATTAGCTCCTACCCATGATATTATTCATACTACTATTACTAATCATTCTTTTAATAAAATTTTGGACCAATAATAAAATATCAATGGTTGAGAACTCCCGAGCTTCATCTGAGAAAACTCATAAATCTACTGTAAAAAGAGCTCTTAAACAACTTAAAGCAAATACTCCCGCAACATCAGAATACTAACGTGCCTTCTCATTGGATGAAATAAACGAAGCGCTTAACCAAACTGAAACAGCAAAAGCAGCAGGCTTCGATGGAATGTATCCTGAGTTTATAGTCCACACTGGTACAAAAATACGACAGTGGCTCAAAAAATTTTAGCGACATTGTGAATACAGCTGTGCTACCCCAGAATTCGAAAGAACAAAAATTATCGCAATCCAGAAGCCTGGCAAAGACAACAAGCTGCCTGAAAGTTACCGGCCTATTGCCTTACTCAGTTGCTGTTATAAATTACTAGAACGACTTTTATATAACCGAATGTGTAACACCATTGAGGATGCTGTACCAATTGAACAAGCCGGATTTAGAAGAGGACGAAGTTGCTGTGACCAAGTGCTGTCCTTAACTACATTTATTGAAGCTGGCTTTGAAAGACGCGAAAAATCTGCCATAACATTTATAGATCTCACGGCTGCCTATGACACTGTGTGGAGAGAGGGCCTTATTTATAAGCTGATGAAAATCATACCTTGCCTCAAAACTTGTCAGCTGATAAACAATCTACTGACTAACAGACTGTTTCAGGTATATATGAATGATGCACAGAAAAATGCACATGTTAGAAAACTTAACAACGGCTTACCTCAAGGCTCAGTGCTAGCTCCTTTATTATTTAACCTTTATACAGCAGATATACCTGAAACAAAATCGAAAAAAATTGCTTATGATGACGACCTGGCCATTGGCTTCCAAGATAATAGTAAAGAAGCAGGAGAACGAGCTCTAAACGAGGACTAAGTAACTATTTTAAGAACTGGCGCTTACGTCCTAACACTTGCGTCCTAACTCTAAATGATACATCTATCAAACATAACAACAACCCCAAATATCTAGGCGTCACACTTGATAGAACACTCACCTTCAAAAGTCATCTTACAAACGCAGCCGGTAAACTAAGAACAAGAAATAACTTAATATCAAAACTTGCTGGAACAACTTGGGGTGCTTCTGCAGATACTCTTCGGACCTCTGCTCTAGCTTTGGTTTTTTCAGTGGCAGAATATTGTGCACCAGTATGTCTAAATAGTGCACATACAAGCAAAATCGATGTCCAACTTAACCAAACCATGAGAATAATCACTGGAACAATAAAACCAACGCCAGTGAGATACCTGCCTACTCTGAGCAATATTGCTCCACCAGATCTACGATGTACAGCAGCGTTAGTGAGAGAGTAACAGAAAATTGTAGCCAACGTACAATTACCAATACATCAAGATATCCCAGACATCTCAAAAGAGCACCAGCGACTGAGATCTAGAAATCCTCCAATACGATCTGCCCGAAAAATTGGTATTTCCTATAATATACATAGGTAATGGACAACAAGATGGATGCCAACAGTAGAATCGAACTATATTAAGATATCCACCCCAACTCAGGGTTTCATCGGATCAAATCTGCCCCGGTCCACTTGGGTAAGGCTTAATCGTATACGTACCGGACATGGTAACTGTGCTGATTCGCTGTTCAGGTGGGGTCGTGCAGAAAGTCCACAGTGCGATTGCAGACAATCTAGACAGACCATAAGGCATTGTGTTTCCGACTGCTTGAATCGTGCCTACCGTGGAAACCTCCAGGACTTTGCGGAATGTTCCCCAGAAGCAATTGAATGGCCATGTAAATTGGACATTAATATTTAGTGTCATTCATTCTATCTTTAGTGTTTGAATAATATATTTAATATATATGTCTATATTATTGTATTTGTATATTTATGCTCTGTTGAGGCTTGTCTCTAACCTTTTTCCCTTGTTTAGTAAACAATATTCAGTTTGATAGTCGCTTATTGTATTTTGTTTATCTTTCTTATCCCATAACTAAATTCCAAAGTGATACTAAAATTCTAACTATTATTTTTTTTAATTCTCAGATTTCAAGTAAAAAGTACTTTATTGACGAGAATGGTGAAACACGATTTCATAAAAGTAATTTAGAACAATATAATTACTTTAAGTTATACCAAATATCTCTGCAAAAGAGTTTAAGCAGTTTAAAAAAAGAGAAATTGCACATTGCACCCAACATTTCCATGTATAAAGTTAATCACCCTATATTGTTCTGAAGCCATTTTCTTGTGGCATTTTAAATTAATTACTATTTAACTGGGAATAAGCCACAAATAAGATAAAAGTACGTTTATTGACGTTTCAATTTCCACTTCGGAAATCGTTCTCAAAATACAAACTGTTTGTTAAGCCGTTAAATGTAGGTTTTATGAAGCCACTGAGCCATTACTACAGTAATAAGTAAAAAAATTGCTAAGAAGCCACCCAGGTCGTGTAGTGACTCAATTACAGGTGGCAACACTATTTGAACTGGTATTTGTAACTGAAGCCACAATGACCACTACGATAAATTCATGTAGATCAACAGGAATCTAGCCTATGGATCGAAATATTTTCAGCGATGCAGATTTTGAGCCAGCTAAAACTAGCCTTTGGGAATGGTATCACACATTCCCATTAACTCGGCTCATAGGGCACAGAGCCACCTTCTCTGTCGCTCATATGAGTAATTCCTGTCTGGCGCGTCCATGTCGCGGGGGTGGGCATCTCTTGCTTCAGTAGACCGGAGCTAGTAGATGGCTAAGTTCAGATAGGGACCCAGTTCCGTGGGGTATAACACGGCCCCCTTGCCCAGGGATACGGGTGAAGACCACAACGATGATGAAGGTGGAGAATATAGTATTCGGTTCAGTGAATTCAACGGAAGTGGCAACCCTGTTTCTAGGGATAGTATAGAATCAACCTGGTGAAGGGCAGCAGCGATCACCAGTACTAGAATTAGGCGTAAAGGAAATGATCCTAAACCGGCTTCTTACTAGAATACCGTAGGTGAGACTGAAACAGTTAGAGGGCTACGGTACTGCGATGCGGAAAGCAAGTAGGAAACTACCGCATTATATTCCTCAGGACATCCGTCCGTAGATTTTTTCTTGTCATGTTGGAAGAAACAAAACAAACGGCCCCTAGTCCCGGGCAGGCCTTAAATGGTCAAGGGGTGCGAAGAATCTCCCGGTTTCAACTTGATAAGACAATCAAAATTGCTACGTGGAATGTCAGAAGCCTATTTGCAGCAGGCAAACTACAAAATCTAATTCAGGAAATGAACAGAATTAACATCGATATTCTCGGCATAAGCGAATTGCGATGGGAAGGCACAGGCATGATCAATACTACTGGTAAAACCCTTTACTACTCATGCAGTGATAGCACAGACCCTCACCACAGACATGGGGTGGGAGTTCTGATAAGCGAAAATTTGCGCGCCTCCGTGAAGAACTTTGTCCCGATCTCCGAAAGAGTCATACTTATTCAGTTGCATGGAAAAGTTAACATAAATATTATACAAGTCTACGCCCCTACAGCAGACAAGCCAGAAGAAGAACTAGAGCGATTTTATCAACAGCTAGACGAAGCCTTAAAGGTGACTAAGAATCACGAAATTAACATCGTATTAGGAGACTTCAACGCAAAAGTTGGGGAAGGAGCTGTAGATCACGTAGTTGGAAAATATGGTCTTGGTCAGAGAAACGACAGAGGGGACAGATTGATACAGTACTGTCAAGACAAAGATCTAGTCATAACGAATACCTGGTATAAGTTACCACCCAGGAGGCTTTACACATGGAAGTCGCCTTTAGACGGACATCAGGGCATTATAAGGAACCAAATAGATTATGTGACAATTAATAGAAGGTACAGGAATGCTATTACTAAGGTATCTGCATTACCTGGAGCAGACATAGGATCCGACCACAATCCCTTAGTAGCAAATATCAAACTGAGGCTCGCTACAGCTAAAAGAAAACACCAGAAGGCATCAGTAAACATTAGAAAACTCAAAAACAATGAAACAAATAAAGCGTACACAGAAGAAATAAACAATAGGTTCTCTAATATGGCAACTGAGAATGATGTTGAAAAGTCATGGACCACCATAAAAGAATCATTTGATGAGTTGAACAACACTTTTCTACTCGAGAGTAAAACAACTACCAAGAATGAGTGGATGACAGAAGAAATATTAGAGATGATGGAACAACGCAGGCAGTGTAAGATCAGGCAGGACGAAGTAGGGTACCGAAATATACACAGTCAAATTCGTAAAGAAATTATAGCGGCGAAGGAGATCTGGATGACTACACTTTGCGCCGAGGCTGAAAGCCTATATAAACTCGGCGACAGCTTCAATCTTCACAAGAAAATTAAGGAAATTGCTGGTGTCTTCAAGAAAAAACAAGTCACTGGTATACATAATGACCAAAATGAATTAATAACGGACCCTAGCGATATACTTAATACTTGGAAAATGTACACAGCCAATTTGTTCAATGATGACAGAACACAAAAACCACCACAACTGGGAGACCATTTGTATGGCCCAAGTATTTTGAAAGCTGAAATTGTACACGCTATCAAACTATTAAAAAGTAACAAAACCCCAGGACCAGATGATATGTACGCAGAAACAATCAAGTTACTTAATGAAGAAAACCTAGACATTATTGTCAAGCTCTTTAACGACATCTACGATACGGGCCAGATTCCAAAAGATTGGCTTCGATCTACATTTATTGCCCTACCAAAAACACCACGTGCGAACTTCTGCAAGGACCACCGACTAATAAGCCTAATGAGTCACTTTTTAAAACTTTTCCTGAGAATACTTCACACTAGATTGTTTAAGAAATGTGAAGAGGTCAGTGGATGGAGTCAGTTTGGTTTCAAAAATGGACTTGGCACGAGAGAAGCGATCTTTAGTATGCAAACATTGATACAGAATTGTTTAGATCAAAGAAAGGATGTTTTTATCTGTTTCATCGATTACGAGAAAGCATTCGATAATGTAAAACATGAATTGATGATAAAATACCTACAAGAATTGGGATTGGATGCAAAGGATATAAGAATCATCGCCAATCTGTATTGGAATCAGACAGCAACAGTACGTCTTCAAAATTTCAACGAAACAGAAGATTTCTCCATTAAAAAAGGAGTAAGGCAAGGTTGTATACTGTCCCCAATGCTGTTCAATTTATACGTAGAAAAAGCCTTCGCAGAAGCAGTAGAAGACTCTAATAAGGGTATTAAAGTTAACGGCATATTTATTAATAACATCAGGTATGCCGATGATACAGCCATAGTGGCAGATAACATCGAAGATCTTCAATGCCTTTTAAATGATCTAACTCTTGCAAGTGAAGCTCGGGGTTTGAAAATAAATATCAAGAAGACAAAATCAATGATTATAAGTAGAAATGATTACCCCAACGCAAAGATATATGTCTCTGGAGAAGAAATCGAACAAGTCAGGCAATTCAAATACTTGGGATGTTTGCTGAATGAGGGTTGGGACCCCGAGAATGAAATAAAGAGCAGAGTTGAACAAGCCAGAAATGCTTTTTTGAGGCTTCGTAAGTTTCTGACTGATCGCAAATTGGACTTCAACCTCCGATACAAGATGCTTAAGTGTTACGTGTGGCCTGTTCTCCTGTACGGAATGGAAGCATGGACGTTAAAGGCCAGTTCCATTAACAAACTTGAAGTGTTTGAAATGTGGTGCCTGCGTCGAATGCTCAGAATATCATGGACGGACAGGGTCAGAAATGAGGAAGTACTCAGAAGAGCGGGCTTACAGGATAGGGAACTTTTTAATTATGTGAAAAGTAAGAAGACTGCATACTTGGGGCACATTATACGAGGAGAACGATACACTTTTCAGCAACTGATACTCGAAGGGAAAATAGAGGGTAGGAGAGGTCTCGGACGTAAAAAAATGTCATGGCTGCGCAATATTCGACAATGGACAGGAATCCACAGCTATGAAATGCTTCGCAATGCTGCTAAAAACAGAATTATTTAAACCAGAATATTTAACAGCTCACCTGACAAGACGATGTACGGTGGACGCCTACGCAGAAATGCACGGCACCTTAAGAAGAAGAAGAAAACTAGAATAAATCTAGAAAATCCGGTTAAAAGTTAATTTATGCTCTTCGAGCGTTCAACAATTCGCAAAATGAATCGCAAGTAATTATATTTACTGTTGAGGAGACACGTCTGCCGCTGACATAAAACATTTACCAATCTGAAAACTCGAGAACAAAGATCTCCAAATTTTAAGCAAAAGTCTCCACGATTGGTATGTTCTTGGATGATCTACCTTCGTGATTCAATACAACAACCACAAATATTTTCAGAGTAGCAGTTTGCAAAATACAGATTGCCATAGTGGTCGCCAACATCTGGAATGGATAGGCGCTACAGGAAGAAGAAGAATCTAATGTTACTAAAGTTTGAACAGGACATTTTTCAATGAATTATAAATTGAGCCAGATATATTATCCACCCTGAAAAATGCTGCAATTACATATGTCGAAGTAGAACGTTCATTGCCAATGTACAAATTAGTTTTAAGTGATCGTTTTTTTATGTAAGACATAGTTTTAAGGCAAAAGTGTTGAAAAACATTAAGCTGTAGCTATTATTGATAAAATTTTAACAGGTTACAATGTTTAATTATTTTTTTTTAACACAAAAGCACATCAACTTCACAGGATTATTAGTGGATATAACAAACATAAGAAATATTACATTAAATACAATTCTATACCTTGATATTTTTTAAATAGGTTAATACTGTTCAGATTCTTTTAATTAATAATTATTTAGTTAGTCTTTTATTATGTTACTAATTTTATGTTGTGTAAATACAGAGTGGCCCAAAAGTCTGGAAACGGCTAATTATCTCGTAAATTACTAGACATAATTATACAAAATTTGAGATACGCCTATTTTGGGATAGGCTGGAAGGTCTTAAATACATAAAACAGAAGTCTGGCAACGCCTAAATTGTTTCAATACATTTTTTAATACTATCTATTTTCAAATACATTAAAACGTAACAATTGATAGTTTAAAATATTTTTTAACATAATAGTTACGTTATTAAGTGTTCAAAATATGCTCCATTGGTGAGTTGACAGCACTATAATCGATGGTAGAATGCGTCTACCACATTTCTCCATGATTGTCTAGAAATTATTCGAGATTCATCGATAATTAATTGCCTTGGCTATGCAAGACCTGCTGGTTAAGTTTTGTAAACTGAATTTTTCAAGTATCTCTAATAAAAATAATCTTTAGGATTGAGATCGGGTGAACGTGGAGGCCATTCAATTCTACCTTGTCTACCAATTTATCGTCCGGGAAATATCTCATCTAAATAACGCCGAACATTTACACCAAATATCTGACGTTAAATTTCTTTCGATAAAAAATGGCGCAATTAAATAAGTACCAACTATAACTGATCATACATTTAATTTTTGTGGTCTTTGAGTATGGTTTTCACGCATTCAGTGTGAATTTCACACGAGTTCAGCTATTCAATACGAGTTCAACTATATGTTCACTTGATTTTATGTAGTCTGAAAGATCTTAAATAAATAAAACAGTGCAAAATATGTAGATTTTAATAAATTTAAATATTTAATTCGAGAATGCTGTGATTTTGATATTTCTTCATCATTTAAATTATGAACTAAAATTGACAGTAGTTTTGGTTCAAAAATTCTGCGTCTCTAAAATGCCGTTCTCTAAACCGTTCTCCTATTCTTAAGACGGCGGTACAAAAAACTGTAAGGCGATTTGAGGAATCTGGAGAAGTAAAGGATAGATACCGATCAGGTTGACCGAAACGAGTTATCAATGACAACAAAACTTCAGATATAAGCAAAGTTTTGTTGAAGATCCACATACATCCCCAGGCAGCGTTGCACAAGTACATGATGTAGGTCATTCTTCAGTCTTACGTTTATTACGTAAAAATAAATTTAAAACATACAAAATTAACTGATTGCAAGAATTAGGTGAAGATGATTTTGGTCGTAGATTAGAGTTTACTGAGGTAATGGTTCTAAACTATCAATTGTTACGTTTTAATGTATTTGAAAATAGTTAGTATTAAAAAATTTATTGAAACAGTTTAGGCGTTGCCAGACTTCGGTTTTATGTATTTATGACCTTCCAGATTACATAAAATCATAAGTGTTACATATGGTTGAACTCGTATTGAACAGGAGATTCCAATAATGACTGAATATACAGGGTGATGTGTTTTAAAAACCAAAGTTACTAATAATATAAGAAAAACGGCAAATCTGGCAACATTGTAAATATCAAATATGGAATCTTCGTATCCCAAAATAGGTGTACCTCAAATTTTGTACAATTATGATTATCATTTTACGAAATAATTAGCCGTTTCCAGACTTTTGGGCCACTCTGTATATTAGTGATAAGTTAATATTAAGATAATTTACTTTGTGTAATAAACAAGGTTATTTTCCTATATTACTTATATGTGTCCTATAAGATGCTTTTTTGGTAAACATATTTGCCCATTCAAGCGCCTGTTTTCAGTTTTTGTTGCCTATAAATCCGAGCTCTGCTCATAAGCTAACTTGCCTGAAACCAGTTTCTTCGAAGTCAACTGTCAAATTAGTTTTTGCCACCCAGCGTATATCTATCAACATTAACAGGCTAAATCCAATAATTTCTTTAATTAAAAATTTTTTGAAAATGATTTCCGCATTGGAAATCGCAATGTCAAAACAAATATAATGTGTAATTCCCTTTACAATTAATTATGGTTTCATCCCATATTATTCATAATGGTTTAATCGCACATGAAATAATATTTAAAATAAATATGTCAGATAATCATTATTATTTATATATGTACTTACGATTTCTAAGCCAGTGGGAGTAACATTGTACGTTTTAGTTGTATCGCCATTTTTAATTGTAAGAACATCATTATCGATTGAGGCCATACTCTGAAAACAACAAAAAAGGTTTTTATATAAAATTATAACATTGTAGTAACTGTCATTTTTAAAATATGTTGGGTTTCTAACATATTAATCTCTATTAATCGCTCCACTAGGGACAAAAGCTGCCTGCCATGTGTCTGTCTGGATTCAGAGTCACATTTTCACCAATTGGTTACAACATTTTATTAGCCACGTTAAACCAAGTGAAGCTGATCCAGTTGTTTTAATATTGGATGGTCTATTTTCCCACACACGGAATATTGACTCGATAAATTTGGTGCGCCAAAACCATGTGGTTATTTTTAGTCTGTCGCTGCATTCTACTCACAAAATGCAGCCGCTGGGCCTTGCTTTCATGAGGCCTCTTAAAACCTACTACTCGCAGGAAATTGAAAATTGGCTAAGGAACCACCTGGAAGAGTAGTCACCTGCTATCATGTTTACGAATTTTTTGGAAGAGCTTATCTAAGATGTGCTATAGATGAAATCGCTATAAATGGTTTTCGAAAAAGCGGTATGTGCGCATTTAATGAACACATTTTTTGAGAACACGACTTTGCCATTCACCACCAAGCGGAAGGTGACCGAGTTCCAGTTCCAAATCTACCAGAGGCTGAACAAGAAAACCAAGGAACTCCTCCGAAGCATGTTACTCCTTTAAAAAGTATTGATGTGACCAAATGTGTGGAAGATTTATCATGTAAGAACATTTATATTAATAGAGATTCAACAGTGCGGCCACAAGATATTATCCCTTTACCCACCACTTCATTCTATAACTCTAGTATTAAAGAAAGAAAGGCCAGAAAAGCATCTGCTGCCTTGATTACGGGTACACCATACAAAGATGCATTAGAAAGTAGTTTGTCAGAACAGAAGAGAAATAAAAGTATTTCAAAGGGAATTCCGAAATTAAAAATAGACAAATGTAAGCCCTTTAAGAAAACAAATAAAAATTAACGAAAATCTATTGCTAAGAAGACAATGACAACTAAGGTTAAAAAGAAAAGTGCTAAGAAAGAGGAAGCTTTTAGTTCATCTGAAGAAGATGACGAATTCATTTTAGATGATGATTCTGACATGAGTGTGACATTGGGAAAGAGGAAGCAGAATGTATGGTTTGTACTGGACTCTTCTCTGAAGATACCTCAGGCAAACATGCATAAGTGTGGGCTTACACCAACTGCACCAATGTAGAAAAAAAGACACATATATTTGTGATTTCTGCCTCGATGGCTAATTTTATCCCGTTATGCTTATATCCGGTATTAGGAACATTTTTTTGTCAGTGTAAATTTACTGTTTTTTATAAAAATTTAAATGTTATTTTTTACTTCGTAGAAATGATTTATTTTCGTTCAATAAATGATTCTGTATAGTCTATTACTTATATTGCTTTAAAATATTTTAATCCTAAAGAACAAATTGCTAATTTCAAAATAAAAGTTCATCAATACAAAAAGATTAAATGTTAATAAAAACAAATATTTAAATGAAACATACCGGTACTGGTTTTCCCATAATAATTTCATCAAATTCTTCTCCTACGGTAAAGGTGGTTGATTTCACACGGTCGCCGTGTTTTTCGTTGATGGTAAATCTGTCGCCATCGTGTATAACGTCTACTGTAAATACTACAACATCTCCAGAATATCCTAAAATTTATTTAGCAATTAGCTTAACTGAAATAAACGGTAGATTTTATTTTAGGATTTTAGAAAGTAACGGGTGGTCCAATAAGCCGATCTCTCGGCTACATATCAGAAACTATTCATGTTATAACTTTAGGAGAAAAAATTCCTTAGTAAAAGTGGTCAAGAGAAATCGCTGGAAATAACTTTCAAGTTTCTGGGTTAACCGCTAGGGGGCGTAACCTGTGAAGAAAACTTTGAAAACCAGTTATTTGGAAAATATGCCCAATTATACCAAGAGTAAAATAAGTTGACTAGAAAGAAGCGTAAATTCCGCATAAAGTTTTTTAAGTACTTTTTTTTATTTTTTCAAATAAAGGGTGGGGGAGAGTGGGAAAATATTTGTGGATAAATACCTTTAACTTTGGTTTGGATCAACCAGTTTTAACAAAATTCGTGTCATTAGAAAGAGTGTTCATAATTGAATTTCGTTTTAATTGCCACGGGTAGAGGGTACTTTCGAATAGAAAAAATTAAAATTTGTTTTTCTTTAAAATGTTCGGATTAAAAGGCACGGATTAAAGCAGAAATCTGAATTGGTTTCGAAAATAGTTTACGGATTTATTAAAATTATTCTCCAAGGGCTTTTAATAAGCAAAAATTTGGTTTTGTGCTCTTGAGGTATTTGGTATAAAATTAAAAAAACACACACATACCATATATAAGCCTAGCTGGAAAGATTTATAATTTCTAATTTTACAAATATAGTTCTAGATTTTTAGAAAGCACTGAGTCAGAAAAATCATACTAGCAAAAAAATGAGGAAGATTTAATATTATGTAAAGCAACATGCAGATTAAAGTGTGGAACCAAATTCAGCCTAGAAGCTAGAAAATCTATATTGGAAAGGTTTTATAAATTAGAAAATAACGCAAAAAACTGTCTTTTATTTAAAAGCATTGACCTAAATCCAGTTTCAATACACCGAATTCGTACTGCATGTAAAAAGCAGAAGTTAAGAGAATGTTCTTTAAATACTCAGTAACTTTCGAATAAGAAAAAATATCTGTTTGTAAGAATGCAATTTGTTCGCTGTATTAAGTTGGCTCAATATACAAATAGGGCTCACAAGATTGTGAAGAGGTAGTAGATTACATTGCCCAACATGTTTAAATGTTTCCAGCTGAGAGCTCTTACTATTCTCGAAACACAAATCAGAATAGAAAGTATTTGTCACCATTAATAAATGTAACAAAGAAATAACATGAATGCTGCAGAAACAGTCATTGACAGAATAGAAAGAAGAGGTTTAAAATGGTTTGGACACCTATTGAGAATGCCTGACGAACGTTGGCCCCAAAAACTTCACAGATGGAAGCCCCTGGAAGGAGAAAACGAGGTAGACCTCAACACTCATGGAATGAAGGAATTAGAAGAGCGATGGAATCGAGAGGTTTGGAGAAGGAGCATGCCTTTGACCGGGAAGATTGGCGGAGGAGAACGGGAATACGGCGATAGCCGTCTCCAAAATGTATTGTATTTACAAGTTGGATATCCAAAATCCACAGATAGATATCCACAATCTATCATTTGGATATCCAAAAAGTGACACATGTAGCACATGTGATTCTGGAGAAAATACTATTGAACATAAAGAAAACTGTAGTATTGCATTTGAATTTCAAAAGAGTAGATAGACAAAAGCCAATATTTGACAACAATATGTGCTACATCACAATGTATCTACAACAAATGATGCCGTTACAAAAGCTTTCAACATCAAGAGTAATCTATTTACGTCAAATGTGGCTGTATAGTTTTATATAGTTTATATAGTGTATTCCGATTTTGTAAGTTCTTAAAAGAAGAACATCCCCAAATTAATCATTTTATCATATGGTGAGATTCATGTTTTGGTCAGAACCAAAACTGTATAGGTACTTGTAGGTCTATATCAACATCTCATTTTAAATGGATATTTTAAAATAATAAAGCAAAAATTTCCTGAAGTGGGCCACAGTTATATAGATTCTGACAGGGACTTTGGAAGGATAGAAAAAGTTCTAAGGAAACATCAGTCAATTTTTATTCCAGATCAATATCGTAACATTATCACGTCGATTAAGTCTAATATGGATAAAATAGTAAAAGCACAAATAGCGATGGAAAGATCAATGCTCGGTGTGAGACTTATTGACAAAAAAATAAACAAATGGATTAAAAGCAAAACCAAAGTAAAAGTCGCAGGAGAACATGCTGCCAAATTAAAATAAAGCTTCGGAGGATACAATGCCTCACTGAAGGATAAGAAATCGAACCACGAAATACAACAATGGAGACCATGGTTGAGAAAGAGAAGCAGAAGAAGACCACAAATGAGATGGGAGGATGATATTAAGAAGATCGAAGGACACAACTGGAAGCAAGTGACACAAAATAGAAGACACTGGATAGATTTGGGGGAGCATATGTCCATAGTTGGATTACTTAAGGCTGAAGAAGAAGAAGAAGATTACGTCGGCAAGCACAAAAGAGAGCATTTGTGTAAATATGGAGAATCTTTTCTACGGCTTTGAAGATCTTCTGACGAACCTCTATTTATGTAAAAAGCAAACAAATGGTTCAAATGGAAAGGTTAATTTTCGTGATAATGTAAAATGGATAAAAGTGGATGAATTTGACTTCTTTCTCTATAAGACATGCCTTAATGACTACATGTCATTTCAACAAGTAGATTTAAGAAAAAAAGAACAGCACATCTGACCAGAACTGAATATAGACCAAAAATACTGAAAAAAAAAACTGATGGTTTAAGTTTGGAAAAACTGGACAATTTAAGAGACCAAATAAAATTTGTTTCCGAAGAGTACAGATGGTTTTATGAAAACGCGATAAAGGGAAATAAATAAAATTCCAAAAAGAAAAGAAACCTACTAAAAAATTTGTTTTGATTAATTTTACATCCTGTAATATAATTCTTTTTGAAATTAAATGGCAATTTTTGATACTTTTTATACTACCCTTTTATCCACTTAACCCTAACATTTTTTAGTTATTTTTACTATGTGTATTAAGGCAATATGTCAAAAAATTTGAAATATTTCGCTTAAGGTAACTTTTCTGAAATTCAATTTAAAGTGTAAAAAAGTACCTTCAGATACCTGTTTAAAAAAGTGTAGTAATGCAAATTTATAAAATAAATAATTAACTTGGAACAAAAGATACTAAAATGCTCATTACTCAAAAACATAATTTTGTGACATATGACCTTTATCCACTTATGTCTTCAATGAAAAGAAGCAACAAGCAAAAGTCTGCAACAGTAAATTTATTTCAGCTATTAATAAGATGTTTTAGAAATTTTTTGTTGTATGTTTCAGACAATGACACAAAATATTTTCAAGCCTAGAGAACCGACTATATTATACCAATACAATATTATTAATAATATTAACAAAAAATAACTTTGTAAAAAACTTACCCACTGCTTTCAAATAATCTGGAAAGGTGCCTTTATCGGAAACTGTGTAAGAACCTGAAGGAATCATTGTAAAACTGTTTTATCTAACTTAACGTCCACTACAAAAAGACCGGCACTAGTGCCTTTTGATGGTCGTTGTTAAATATATATGAACACTCTTATCATTAAGTTTTTATTTAGTCATGTAAATAGTTATCAGTGATAATTTTTATGGTTGGGTTGCTAGTTTGAAACATCGTGACTTTGTGCTTTTTAGTATAGACAATTTGACAGTAATAAATTGGCCCAATTGTTATGAAAGATAACAAATATATGAAAATATAAATTAAACTCTGACACAAGAAAACATTTCTATTATTTTTACTAGCTTACACATTAGTTTAATGTACCAAATGATAATTTTATAACTTTACTATTAAAAATGAAGAATTATTCATCTTATATGTTAGTACTGTTCTGAAGCTATTTTCTTGTGGAATTTTAATGCAATTACGATTTCGACTTTGGAAATCGTTATCAAAATACAAAACATTAATAAATTAAATAAATTTTATTTTTGTTAAAGAATAACATTAGGTATACATTTTCTATTGTTGATATTTTTGACCCTGATCTACTTTTTACCAGCTTAAAATATATTAATAGTATTATATAAATATCTAATCACAATTACATACAAACTTTAAAGATATACAATACAGAGTGACGTAAATATAATTTAGGTGGACGGAAGGGAAGTAACCGAAGAGACCCCACTTCCCAATATAAGAAACAGCTAAGACTTACCTCCACATAGAAACTACATAAATACATGCTTGAGATTTAAAGGCATAAATCTATGATTGATTTTATAGTCACTAATAGAAAAATCCATTCAAAGCAAATTCTAGATATCCAAACTTTAAACTCAGCAGATTACAGGACCTTACAGGAAATTAGCAAGGAAAAATTCAATGTAAAATCACTGTGGAACGACTCTACAGGAGAAATGTATCAAAGGAGGCTAGCACAGAAGATACAGCTGAAACAAATAGACGACATCGAAGATATAAACGCGAGCTGGGAGAAAGCGCCAAGTCATATTAACCCTTCATTAGTCGGACCTAGGGGGGTCCACTGGGGTCCAGTGGACCTAGACCCCAGTTTTTTGCCTGTAATTTAAAATAAAATTAATATATATCATTGAGCCTAAATGACATCTCGCCGAGACTTTCCGGAAATTTGTGAACAAATTCGACCGTACCTACACAGAATAGGTCCGGCGGAGCTAGTACGCTCAACCACGTCAGTGCTATTTGGTACGTCTGCTGTGGCGTATGAGAGTTATATACTAGTGCTTATTGTCTTTCACTGACTCTGAATAATGTGTTTTGTGAATAATCGACCTTACTTATTTTGTAACAATTACGTAAAAAAGTATTTTATCATAATTTGGCGACACTTTTGAGAAAATGAGTAATCGTATTTACAAACTTGATAATCCGGCAGACGTAGAAGAGCTTAATCGTCTTGTTTTCGAAGAAGGTGAATGTGACACAAATACTTTACCCCAAGAAGATTTTGACGTATTATCTGGAGACAAGTTCGATGGATTCTGATACCGATCATGAAATCGACGATGTATATACAGAAGACATGGTGGGCGCCGAAAGCAAAAACTTTTATAATGGTAAGTCAGGATATAAGATGTGTCCCTTTCGATGAAAAAACCACACAGCCTCAAAGACAAGCAACAGATAAATCAGCTTCAGTGAGAGATATTTTTAACTATTTTTTGGAAAATTGCAAGACATGTTATAGCCTAGGACAAAACACAACAATTGATGAAATGCTGCCACAGGATTGCGAGGACGTTGCGGATTTAGACAGTACATACCATCCAAACCGAGCAAGTAAGGAATCACGATATTCTCTTTATGTGATGCAAAACTTTTATATTTTTTATTTTTATACTTATAATATGAAAATTTATTGAGGGCAGCAACTGGAAGGACCTTTCCTTCCAGTTAGAAGGAAGAGTAATTCTGCAGATACAATTGTATGCAGGTTGGCAGAACCAATTTTCGGTACAGGCAGGAATATTACTGCCGATAATTGGTTTACGAGTTTGAACCTTGTAAAAGAACTGGAAAAACAAAAATTGTCCTTCGTAGGAACCGTGAGGAAAAATCGACGAGAAATTCCGGCAGATTTTGCATTGCCCAAAAATCGCAATGAATATGATAGCTTATTTGGTTATACTAAACACGAGACACTTGTATCATATGTACCAAAAAAAAACAAGACAGTTGTATTGTTGTCTAATTATCATACGTCAAGTTTAGTTGTATCGTCTGACACCGATAAGAAACCGGAGATAATACAATTTTACAATGAAACAGAATCAGGCGTGGACGTTGTGGATAAATTATGTGCCACTTATGATGGCCTATGGTGATATTCTACCGATTATTAAATGTAGCCGGAATTAACTCCATGATTATTTTTTTTGGAAATGGGGCAGAGTATATTACGAGGCGGATCTTTTTGAAAAATTTTGCAAAAAGTTTAGTAACTCTACATTTACAGAGGAGATCAACAATACAAAGTTTACCGACTAAACTGAAAACTCTTTTAGAACCTTATAAACCTGAACAAGAAGAGACACATGAAAGGGATCGAGCAGCAAATAGTTCAAACCGAAGTAAAAGAAAACACTGTGCAGCTTGTTACAAAGAAACGAAGAAACAATGCAAGACTCAATATTCTTGTGAAAGGTGTAGCAAATTTTTATGTTTGAGTATAAATGCTAAAAAAATGTGCGAGGAATGTTTTAATAAATATTAATGAGATATATATTAAATCTGTAAATAAATATAATACACATGTCTATGTTGGTTTTTCCCTTTAAATATATTTTTATTATTTCCATAAGTAGTTTTGTTTTTTTTTCTGTTTTTTTCCATATATGAGCAATATTACGCATTCAAAATCTGTTTAATTATTTACTTCCTGATAAAATACATTTATTTATGTTGTAACATTAAAATAATCAGAAAAATATTTTAAAAAATTTGCTAGTAATTAAATAGTTAATCATAGGTCCATTACACCTACCTCGACTAACGGCGTTCGGACAAGTCGCGCGCCCAATGAAGGGTTAAACAAAAGAAACAGCAACGATACATCATGGTTCAGAAAAGAAATAAAAGAGAAATGTAAAGATACACGAGAGGCCGTCACGAAGTATAAAACATCAAATACCCCAGAATCCCGAGACAACTATAGAAAAATACAAATTGAAACAAAGCAGTTGGTAAGAAGAACAAACAATGAACACTGTGAATAGTTTAATTGAATTGAATGTAGTTCAATTCAATCACGGCGGATAAAGCAGAAACATAGTTCTTTTTCAGCCTTAAGTAATCCAACTTTGGACATAGGCTTCCCCCAAATCAATCCAGTATCTTCTATTTTGCGCTCTATTTTGCGTCACTTGCTTTTAGTTGTATCCTCCGATCTTCTTATAATCTGCCCATCTCGTTGGTGATCTTTCTCTTCTTCTCTTTCATAACCATGAACTCTATTGTTGTATTCAGTGGTTCCAAAAAGCTCCATTTTTAATGTGGCAGCATGTTCTCCTCCGTCTTTTAGTTTCGTTTTGCTTCTAATCCATTTGTTTGTTTTTTTGTCTATAAGTCTCACCCCGAGCATTGATCTTTCCATCGCTCTTTGTGCTTTTACTATTTTATCCATGTTAGTCTTGGTGAGTGTCCATGTCTATGAGCCATACGTGAGTATAGGGAGGATATGCTGATCGTAAATTTTGGTTTTATGTTTTCAAGATCCAACTTAGTTTTCCAAATCCTGCCCACGCTAACCTTATTCTTCCTGTAATTTCGGCAGTTAGATTTTCTTTGTTACCTTATTATCTGTCCCAGGTATATGTATTCGCTTACTGTTTCTAAATGTATGTCGTTTAACGGTATTTCTCTAATGTTCAGTGTATTATCCTCTGTTAGTTGATATAGCTTTGGTTATCGCATCTATTTGTATTTTAACAAATGATGGATTCGACCGTTACTTGATGGAAATTCATTTTATGTAACAATAAAACACTAAAAACTTTGTTTTTACACTTCCACAAAATTTATTTTAACCCTTATCACTACAGCCGTTTCGGCTGATTGCCTTTCTCAAGTGATCTATTTTTGGCTTGCGTTTACACTTTAAGAAGATGATGCGCTGTACTGTAAACCTTTCGGAATCCTGCCTGCTCGGATTCCTGCCTGCAGAAACAGTAGATGATTAAAAACTTCACTATAAAATAACATAATTGCAGTGTGTCAAAAAATCCTTATAATTAAAAATTATAGACTTACAATTAAAAATTATTTTCACGAAGTTTAAAATTCTATAGACAGACTTTGTACATATATTTATTGTTTTGCTACTTACTAGTACATACATAAACAAATACATTATCAGACTCATTAGAGGATATTTAATTGGTTTATTTTTTAAATATATTATTTCAAATTCAAAAGAATGAAAAGACAAAGTAATGGTAAGCAATTATGAAAATACAAACAAAGATAAAGTATAATGTAATCGACCATACATGATACGGCTAATTTCGTTTTAAATTTCATTAGATAATTCTGTTATTCAATTAAATAACATAAATATTCAAAAGTTCATAAACAGAAAAAAATAAAATTGCACAGCTTGCGTCAAGTTTTGCAAATAAAACTAAAAAGCTTTACATTAAAACTTAAAAATCTAAAAAAAGACGAATATTTTCATATCTTAAATGGTCAGTTAGTCCATTTTATAACGTCAGCCAATAAGTCCTGTACCTAACGAGTAAAACAACATTTTTTGCAAAAATATTTCTTTATTCATCAAAATAACCTCATTTAGCGACAAAACAATCATTCCAACGCTTCTCTAATTTTTCAATAAGGCCCTTGTAAAACTATTTTTCTTAATCTGTCAAATAGGCAACAATTTAGGCGATTACTTTCCCATCGGAACAATATATTTTGCCATGGAGGGTTTTTATTGAATCAGAAAAAGATAATAATTGCTGGGAACCAGATATGGACTACACGGTGGGTGCTCAAGTAACTCAAAGCCTAATTTGTGCATTTTCTTGGTGAAACATAAATATTTTTTTACTTAATGACTCCTTT